GAGCTAGATGTTAGACAATACCTCAGAAGAGATCCCAGACTCCTCTAGTACTTCCACTCTGGTTTTATCATAGTTCTGTGTTGTATTTATTTACACAACAAGTACGATCACACATGATCGCAGCTGAGCCTGGGTGGGTGTTCGTAGGCATAGCTGCCTGATCTCGGGTCAGAGTCCGGTGTTCTGCCAGATTATGCATCCCCTAGTATTGGTAGGTTTAGGAGTAGGTGTGGGGGAGGGGTTGGGATTAGGCAATTAGTTAGCGACTCAACGAATCTGGCAGGGGTGCAGAATTTGGCACAACACCGGCCGAACTGCTGCTGACACGTGCCACTGTGTGTTCACGTGCGGGTCTGATCCGGGATCAGTGCCGTGAGTTGGTCTGGGCTTGCACTCCGTGTTATCGAATGTAACGAGGCCTGAAATCCTCACTGCTTTACGAGACCAGCAAAAACACCCCGCCCACTGATGTCCGATTGGGTGAATGAGACGGAGCCACGCCCACCGCTCAGAGAACAGTGCCGCCACTTACGGCTTTCTGAAATCACCATAGCAACCCGATCACATAAACTTATGAAAAGTAACAGAATTTATTATTTTTTATCATAGTACCCCATTTTTTCACAATAAAATAATCAGCATCACCTTAGTCAGGGCATCGCCATATTTCATTTCTGACAGGAATGAAAACGAGGCTGTGAGGGACTGAAGTACAGTGCGTTCAGTGGATTGAACTGTTGCTGAACAACATACCGATTGTTCAGCCGATGAAACGTCTCTTTAGCCTCGTTCAGACTGTCAGCCCAAATCCGATTTTTGTGCAAATCTGATTGAAATCCGATCATATTTAGATAGTCTGAACGGCAACAAACTATATGAAATTAGATTTTTGCAAATCCGTTTCGAGCTACATTCGTATGTGGTTTGGAATCCTATTCAAATCTTTATTCAATTAAAATGTTACGTGTTACTTCCCTAACACGTCTACTACTTACGCAAACGTTGATCACACTACAAACAATACAAAA